TTAACAGTAAATACCAAAATGTGTGAGAATGATAACATACCATATATGCAAGATTAAACAGTCAATACCAAAATATGTGGGATCCTATCAGTCAAATCTTGATCACAGTCCATATGAATTGGTAAAAGGAATGTTTATTGGCAATTTGGTATCTATCTATAACGAAATTATGTACACCTTATCTTCAACGCACCATTTGCACAGACCTTCCCTGTTGTGCTTGATACTTCTGACCTTGCTTGGCGTAATGTGTTTATTTGTCTTCTTTTCGTTTCTCCCATGTTTTGCTGGTTCATTTTAATCCTCTATAACGTCAAATCTATCACTTCGCTATCTGATATTATTTTTTGTGCCGATTATTATTATTATTACTATATCCTTTAATTCCTGGAGGAACATAGGGCTTCAGCTGCGCACCTCCATTGCCTTCTGTTTTCTGCCAACTTTTTCACCTCGCTCCAAGTCTGCCCACATGCTTTCATCTCCTCTTTACATGACCTCCTCAAAGTCACCCCACCCTTGAACTGACGACCAAGTCGCCGCTTCCCTTTCGGGTTCCACTCGAGCAATGGCTTGTCTAGTGATGTCACTTGATGGTTTCCTCAGAGTATGGCCAGCCAATCCATCTCCATTTCTTCCTGCCTATTTGTTGCCCAATCGGTTCCTGGTTGGTTCGCTCCCAGAGATCTTTGTTGTTGATCTTTTCTGGCCATATGATATTGAGTATTGAGGGAAGACAGCTAGCTGTTGATGAAGGTGTGTAGTTTGTTTGAGATGCTCCTTATGACTCGCTGGCCAAGTCTCTGATCCGTATAGAAGCACTGATTTTACATTGGAGTTGAAAATCCGGATCTTATTTTGAATGCTGAGTGCTGTTGACTTCCACACAGACTAAAGAGTAATGAAAGCCTGTCTTGCTTTTCCGATTCTGGCTTTGATATCCTCGTCAGTTCCGTCCGCCTGTAGTTGAAACGATACTTCCCAAGTAGGTGAAGGAGGCTGTTTCTTTAGGTTCCTTCCATTTATGCTGATTGTTGTCTGATGTTGTTGCTGTTGGTGTTGGCCAGGAATCTTCATCACCTCTGTTTTATCTAGGTTCACCTGAAGTCCTATCTTTGATGCTTCTTCCTCTGTCAACTTGTTGCTTTTCACTTGCATATCTTCCAGTTTGTAGGAAATCAGACATATATCATCGTCGAAGTATTTTTGTGTGAGTCCATTTGTGCCAATTAACTTCTGTCTATATATAACTGATAGCATACGTCACATAGTATCATGTGTTATTTAAGAGTTGAAAGGAGAGAGAGTGTTATCGTCATATATCCACTGTAACTAATACAGTTCATGGTAAACGACTGCAACAAGGCAATCATCCTGTGCTAAGTGATAATCATATGGCCAGTAATATTTCTAGTCAGGCGTCGTGTTGGTAGAGGGCGTTGACCGCTTCACTTATTTTGGAAGTTGCATCAGACAACGCCAGAGGGTTGATCGCTGACGAAATCTCAGCACGAATACAGAAGGTCCGTTTCGCATATGCCAGTTTACACCGTCTCTGGCTTAGTAGACGTGATATCCAACTGGCTGGCTATGGACCAAAGGGAGTGTTTACTGGCCAGAAGTTCGCCACTGAAAGTGGAAGATATGAAAAGGCTGGCCAACTGCCTTTGATCATAGGTGTCTGCGTTCTATCTCTTGTGTTAGGTAGTGGCCTAATAGGGTGAGCAATATTAAGGTTAGGCATCCGTCCAGTGAGTGCTAGGTAGGCGGGAGAGGAAATCAATAGACTAGGCTATGAAGATAAATCGACTCGGGTGATTATGAAATGTGTTACGTATGCCTAGGCATTGATCGCCTTCCTCGACGGGCAAGGTTAGCCAACTTCCATAGGATGGATCAGGTTGGAAAAGAGAAAGCTACTAATGGTCAAACTAAAACATGGCGTCATCAGTCAATGAAATTCACAACAGTTAGTTTAAGCCAGCTAGCCAGCCAGTCACACAGGGAGGTGTAGACTGGCTTCCTGACTACTTGTGGTCCTCGGGATGTTAAGAACCAATAAAGGCTGGAGACAATTAGTGATATGGCTCAAAATCGTTGTCAGTGACTGGCTGGCATAGATGCATCCACTCCTTGTGACTTATAATACCCAACAAAACTATATTGTTCTTTGATATTACTATTCCTTTTGCCTCATATCTCTCTTTCGCATTTCTTTTTACTTTCTTCTCTTGCTTTGTGTGCTACATAGAAGGAGAGTGGCAAGTCGAAGTGCTGTACATCGGTGCAAAGTTCTGATATGTATCCATTTATATATATATATATATATATATATATATATATATATTGGTCTCTCTTTCTGTTTGCTCTCTTAGTCTGTGACCATTTCACTTGTATGAATCTGTCTCCTTTAACAATGTATATTCCTCTTATATTATATATGATATGAGTGTTTGTTGACAGTCCGTTGCTTGGTGACATATATCCATATATGGTGGTTGTTGACATGTCTGCTATATTTCGCTATGTATATATGGATCGATACTTCATTATAATTAGCCATTCATGTTAAGACTGTCTGATGATTGTTCACACCCTTGTCTGAACATTCACATATATTTCGCTCTCACAATTTGTGTGACTGACTCACTTTGGTGTGATACCACTTTTGCATTCTCCTTGTGTTTGGAAAATAGAAGTATCATCGCAAACCTAGTGGTCTTCTGATTTCCGCCTTCTTGCGTCAGGACTATTAAATTCTCGACCAGTCCATAACAATAATTTAGCGACGAGTACATAACAAGTTCTATGTTGAAACCAGTTAGTCAATTGTCGAGTGTGTTAGACAAGAAAGGTAATCGATGAGGTTGTGAAGCTACGTTGCGTTAGCCACTGTCTATCCCAATGAGTAGTATGTTAGGCAAGATAGGGAAACTTGGCATCAAATCCACGAAATCTTCCTCTCGTACATATTCACCCATTATTGGTTCTTTTTAATCGCTTTTTTCTCTTTCTCTTTTCTACATTTTTGTAATACAATATGGAGTGTGACAAGTTTCGACTGCTGTACTTTTCTGTGTAAAGTTCCATATAAAGTTGAAACTCAGTAACAGTCAAACTTTGATCAACACTCAAATATGCTATCCAACTGGAATATAGAGGTGATAATTAGGCATTAAAACTTTGAAATTTCCATAGCCTTTGTACTGCCTTGCATTCAATCCTTCCTTTGTCTCTGAGCTTATTACTATTGCCTAAGCAAGGTTTCAGGGTATGTTGTTCGGGTACCCTACCAACCAGAACCCTTTTGGAGAGCATTCCTAACCCTGAACAGACGACGTGGAAATTTTTATAATTTTTACGGAGTAGGGATGTTAGCCTCACACATTAGCTAGCCCAACTTTATTCCTATCTTTCTCTAGTTTACTGTTAAAGCTTATAGTAGTACAGTGTGTGGAGCGAGTTAGTTGCATAGGCCGTACAATTAGGCGTGTTTCTCGTGGGATTTCTGAACATCACCCTGCCTGGTGGTCCGTTAAGCAAAGGACAAACGAAATTTATTCGCATAGCGCTATTCTATCTCATCTTGTGGATACAGAACACAAGATTGATGTCAACAAGGCGACTTTCAAAGTCACTTACCGCATACCAACAAATCTCAATTTCGACTTAAGACTTCGACTACTAAATATTGCTGAGGCTGGCTGTTGGGATCTACACTAAGAAGCCTAATTTATGTATCCAAAAGAAGCTGGTTGGTTCAGACATTGTCCTTAACTTGGCCATCTAGGTTTGAATGATCCTCAATTTTTTTGTAGGAATTTCCTTAACTTTAGTTGATTTTCTATTTGCTTTTACATTTTTAAGTTTATTATGATCTATGTATCTTTCGTGAACTGTAATTCCATTGTGATCTTACTTACTTTTTTTCCTTCACGTTCCCCAGTGGAACATAGCGAGGGCTTCAAGCTACTGGCTTGAAGTTTCTGTAGCATTGGTGTTTATTTTACGGGATGGGGTTGCTAGCCTCATTCATGCTCAACCTTTCCTCTTTACCAGCATTATTTCTGGCTTAGCGAGTTAAAGGAGTGAGTCCGTGGCCGGGGATCGAACCCCGGATAATGTGCATGGTCGGCGAGCGTCCTAACCGCTATGCCACCGACGCGATCTTACTTAACAAATCGATATTACTTGAAAACACCAATATTGTTTTTGACGGCTATTGTTACGAGTTGATCATGGATTGATATCAGTTAGAGAAACACTGAAAACCAGCATAGGAGTACTGGACAGCTGTTTCGTCAGTCTAGTTAGGGAATCATCGGGAGTACGCACTCACAGCTAGAGTTCAAACCTAGGACCTTCCGGTTACAAGGCGAGCTCGTACACCATCCAGCTACGGGGACCCGATTCATTGGCCAACCCATGAATTCTAACTTCTACCAATTCGTGATTTACCGCGACCCTAACCATTGTCGTAGGTGGGACATCCATCGTCATACGTTACATCTGGATTAACCTCACTGGTCACGACTCCCCACTAGAACTCACTCCAGGAGACTCCATCCTGTAGCCAGTAGTCACTAGCGAGCATCAGATTGATTTTCTATAGTTTGGTTTGTAAGGGTTAGTTTTGTTTTTTCAATGGTTCTCTAACTGATATCAATCCGTGATCAATTCGTAAAAAACAAAACTAACCCTTACAAACCAAACTATAGAAAATTGACTACTATTCTATGTATATAATTGTACAGCCAGATGGGGAAATTGTCGAAAGGGGGATATTCTTCTTTTTTTGCTCAATTATTTTGTGTTTTATAAATATTTACGAGTGTTTCAGCCAGGAAACGTGTATTGACTCGGGCCACTTTCAGCGTCTCATGACTGTCATCAATATTGTTCACCTTGATAGACGGAATGTCAACCGGAAGGTCCCGGGTTCGAATCCCAGTGGGTGCGTACTGCCGATGATTCCTAAAACTAGGATGAAACAGCAGCTGTCCAGTACTCCCTGGTTTTCAATGGTTCTCTAACTGATATCAATCCGTGATCAACCCGTAAGACGGAATGTCGTCCACTTCATAGTAGTAGTAGTACAGTGAGAACAAAAGAGCGCAATAACCGAATAAAATTATTTAATAACATTAGTAATAGTAGTGGTATTTATATATGTATACATCTGTGTTATATAGTCTGAAAATGAAAAGAAGTATACGATATAATATGTGGGCATGGATGTATATATGCGTATGTGTGTTTATATGTGTATATGTACTACATGCATGTGTCTGTATGTCAATGAATGATAGATGATACAATAGATAGACTAATAGATAGATAGGTAGGTAGATAGACGAACACGCTCACAGACAAACGCACATGTGATGGAAAGACAGACATAGACAAGTATAGAATAAAAAAAGAAGGTAGTGAGTTAGAGGCAATGGACTAGCGCACACGTATCCACTCACGCGCATACATATAGACACACACACACACACACTCAAAGAATAATAGACTTCTAGGAGGAAGACAAAATGATCAATGTATACAGACACACACACACAACAGCCGCCCACACAATCTCTATATTATTATTAGGTGCATAAAGGAAATATATTAGACAGTAGGAATTCGAATTGAAGGCCAGACACACACACGTATACGAGAGAGGAAAAGTAACAGAAGTGATTGTCGAGACCCACCTAAACAAAAGGAAACTCGTTCTGACAAACTTTGCCGTTGTTGTTATACGCACAACTAGTCTAATTAATTGACAAACACAGACGAACAGCATAGAGAGATAGGCAGCATGGGGGGGGGGCGGGTGACAATGAAAAGTCATAACAATTAATGATGAATGAATAAGGAAGGAATAAACAAGAAATGTGACAAAAACACTTTATCATCCTCCTAGTCACTGGATAATTACTATTATTAGTATTATTGATCTAAGACTAATCATTACCATAGTAATGGCAGTTATATGTATCTGTATATACTACTCTTGTGATATATTTTACCAGTAGTATGACGACGCAAATACAGTAGTTCGTTATCTTTGGGAAAAAAGTGTATCATATTATGAGTATCGAGCATATAATACAAGGCAGGCAGACAGACGTCCAGAGTGGGTAGAGATAGTTATACAAACATGCACAACTAACCTCCCTCCAACCCACCCACCCACACACAAATCGTACGAGGAAGAACTGAAGAAGAAGAAGAAGACAAAATCGATCGATAGATCAATCAATCAATATAATAATAAGACAGGAATGCCATTTTGTGGTTAAATTCCTATACGAGTGTAAAAAGAGTGAAGAGGGAAAAGCAGTAGTCAACATAGAGACATTCACCAACACATATACACACGCAGACAAACACAAACGAACTGAAGGAAACATCGATACACGACACAGTGCGCTTTGGTTTTGCTGTTTTTTTTTATCACTGCAAAAGGTACAATAAAGAAATTTGAATCAGTTAATGAGGTTAGAAATGATTATCTTTCATTTTTATCTATTTGTCTGTCTGTCTGTCTATCTCATAGAAAAGGATTATTATTGGTTGAACGACCATTATGAATGGCTCCACCATTCATCATCAATTGCATATGAGGAGTAGTGGCAGTACTGGTTAGTTGGTTTTGATTTGTGAATACTAGAGAATGTTGTTGAGGCTGTAAAATTAGTGTTGAAAAACCGGAAAAACAATGCGGTTAATATATAAATAAATAAATAAATAATAATGTATTTGCGCAACACATTTCGAACAGCCTGATCCATCACACACGAACTTGTCACAGGATATACCCGCTTAGCCATCACCACCTTCCTCGACAAGGGATAATGTTAGCTGCCAAAATACGATCATGTTAGAAAAACAGCTAGTGGTGGTCAAGCCGAAAAATGGCTTCATCAGTCAATGAAATCCATAACAGTTAGTTTAAGCCGGCCAGCCAGCCAGCTACATAGGGAGGGAGGTGTAGACTGGCTTTTTGACTGGTTGGGGTCCTTGGAATCGCGAAAACCAATGAAGGCTGGAGACAATCGGTGATATGGCTCAAATTCGTTGTCAACGGCTGGCTCAGATGCATTCACTTTTTTTGATTTGTTGTTATATTCAATAAAACTGTATTATTCTTCCATACTGCTATTCTTTTTCCCTCACACTTCTCTTCTTTCTCCCTTTCTGTTTTCTTTTTTCTTACATGACTTGCCTCATTCTGATGTAGCCACTTTTGTTAAGTATGCTGACGACCTCTCTGCTTCTACTATACCTACCAACTCTCAGTCAGATTGTCCCAAACTAAATAACTTTCTGTCAGAAATTAGTCAGTGGTCCTCTTCAAACGGTCTTAAGCTGAATCCGTCTAAATGTCAGATAGTCAATTTTACTTTCAGACGAAAACGTGATCTACAACAACTAGTTAGCTAACATGACCCCACTATCATTGACGGCATACGGGTTGAAAATACATCCAATGTCAAGTACCTTGGCTGAATTTTTCCACCGATCTTTCCTGGTCCTCCCACATCTTTTTAGTTACTAGAAAGATGTTTCGCTTAACGTTCTACATTAGGAAATTTAGGCAGTCTGGCATAAAGCAGTCTTTGCTTTCTCACTTTGTCAATTCTTGTATTCTACCCATCCCCTCGCCTTTACTGCTCCCCATTAATCTTTCCTGGACTACTTAAGAAAGACTTTGCTTTGCTCAGAAGGGCACTAAAAGCCGTTACTAGGGCAAGTGGGATATCGTTAAACCAACTGGTCAACACTATTGTGGATAGACATATAATGAATGTCATGTAAGAAACTAGCGAATACTACATTGTGAGACCCCGAGGATCCTCCATATACGCGGCTCTCTCCCTGCATTTCATCTGGTAGAACTAGAAGCAGCTATAGGAGGCTATATGCTAGGACTACCAAGTACAAAAACCCCACAACACCATATCTGGCACAGCTGTTATGTAATGAGAAATCCGTTAGGTATGACACGATCAACTTACTGCGGCACTCTAACAAATAAATAGTCCCATTAGTTTTTGTTTTCCTTTCCTCGTTACTATTACACTGTTGTTCTCATCTTCTATCACACATCAACTTTATATTTCAAATCCTGTGGTGCATTGTTTGAAATGTAATACTCTACGCTGTTTTTTTTATTTTTTTGTTTTTATTTATCTTTTATTTTTTTTGGCGTTGGTTTTTATTATTTATTTTTTGATTTTAAAAATCTTATATAATTTATGAGGTAATTAGATGCAATATACTGTAATGCACGCTGAAAATTCCATACCTGTACCACAAATACCGTTTGGAATAAAGCTGTTATTATTATTTATTATCTCTCTCTCGAATCTCTTAACTCTCTTCTCTTGTTTTGTGTACTACATGGAGAGAGGGAGTGTGTGATAACTCGAACTGCTGCACATCCGTGCAAAGTTCTAGGTTGAAAGCCGTCAGACATGGTAACCCTGACCACATTATTACTCACTGTTTCAAAATATCAAAGGGACAGGATTCACTAACTAAAAATATAGTTACAACACTCAAAGCGATGTCTGAACTCCACAGGTATCCACTGTTGAACAGATAACATCTAGAATGATGGATTAAAAACCTAAAGTGAGGTGTTTGTTTCGTAAACCCAACAGCTGTGACAAAAACAAAACGATCGATCGGTTTGATCTAACAGATCTATCAATAGAAGCTCAACTAGTGAAACGGGTACATACCGATGAAGAGTCGCGAACTAGGACGAAATTGCTGTTCAGTACATCCCTATTATCTCATTTCATTGATTCTCCAACTGGATTCAGTTCATGATTTAATTTCAAGTAAATGTCAATAAGTAACTGAGGTTGTTAACAGAAAACAAGCTGTCGACGTTTAATCGTAGGAATGCTCACCAACTACCCCATGAGTAGTCCGATTTAGATTTTCAGCCGATTCACTCATAAATCTTACAACCAGCTATTGGCAAGTTCATTTTTTTACTCTTTTAAGTTCCCACTGGAATATAGGGCTTCAAGCTAGAGACTTGAAGTTTCGGTACCAGTGGCATTTATTTTTACAGAATGGGGTTACTAGCCACCTGATGCCCAACCTTCCCTCTTTACCAGTCTCATTACTGACTTCGCGAGGTAAAGGAGTGCATCGGTGGCCGGGGATCGAACCCCGAACCACCTGAGGCGTGGTTGGCGAGCATTCAACCGCTGTGCCACCAACGCGTTTAATCCTTCTATAGAGATGGAAATTTGGGCTAGCGTCAGGCTAACAACTCCACCACCTCGTAAAAAGCATAATAAAACCAACGTTTTCAAAAGAATGGATGCTGAACAAAGAATACTCTTTTCGATAACCCCTTCTTCATCAGGCTCTACAGTTATATATACATTACAGCGAATGAATGTTATGAGCAACATTATTGCTGTTTAAATAACATCGAATCAACAATAATATCAATAGATTACAGTTCAGTAGCACCAACATAACAACAAACTGAATGTCAGAAAAATTAGGATAATATTACTAGATAATACTTAGATAATATTACTAACTCATGAGTTTATAGTCCCTACTGAAGGCCAGCCAGGGCGGTAGTAGTGGCTAGCTGCACTTGTTTCTTTGGCACCGAGAGCACTGGTTGTTTGAGGCGAATTGCAATAGCTTGTGTTGCTTGAAGCATGCGGTACCTCGATGATTTTGGCAATTTATTAGGCACCCGGTAGATTCTAGAGAAGGATTCTTCCACGCTGGCTGGTTTTGTGGCTGGTCGGTTTGCACCAGATGGTCCAATATCGAACTGTTGATGGTTTTCATTACACCTTTACTTAGCCATACTGGGAAATGTTCCCCAACGAGCACGAAAAATCAAGTTCCTAGAGCAACGGCTAATGTAACTGGCTCCACCACAAGCGCAGTTGAGTTGGTAGGTATTTCATCTTTCAGGCGAGGTAGCACCACCATCGGTCGTGTAGATGAAAAAGACGTGTAGTTCGCCGCCAGCATTAAAAGTTCTTTGAACTGATTTTCTTAATTTCTTCGTAATTATCTCACTTAGTATATCGATGGCTATTGAATTGCAGTCTTACATAAAGTGGTTTCTTGTTTACGGATAGTGATGAGTAGTCCTTTTCCGCCGCTTTCTTTGTCATGTGTTTTTTGATAAATTTTTCGGGAAAGCTATTTTCGATCAAAGTATCAAATGTAATGCTTAATTCATCTTCAATTACTTCTTCTGAGCATATAGCTCTAACTAACCCTGTGGCTGAGGGCCTTCACTAGATTTCTTTTGTACATGAGAGGAACGAAGCTGTGAAAATGTGTATATTGTCCTGTTATCCAAGTACTTTTTCTATGCCAATTTCTTTTTATGCTACCATATGGTTTTCTTGTAAGGAGGACGAACATCCAGGAAGGCAATTAATTCTGTTTTGAGGGATTCCTCTTCGCACGTGAATTTCATAGCCGAATGTACTTCATTGAATTCAGTAATCTAAGTGTTGGTTTGTAGGGATTTGGTTGGTTTCAGGATTTCATCATGAGCTGACATTAGTTAGAGAACCATTGGAAAACCCAGGAGTACTGGACAGCTGTTTCGTCCTAGTTTGGGACTCTTCAGCAGTACGCACCCGCCGGGATTCGAACCCCGGACCTTCCGGTTACAAGGCGAGCTGCCTCGTATACCATTAAGCCACTGGGACCCGTTCCAATGGCCCACGAATTCTAACTTCTGCCAATTCACGACATAGCGCGACCGCTAGCCAGTGTCTTCGGCGAGTATTTGTCCTCACACCCGACCCGCTGCACCCTACTGGTCACGACTTCCCACTGGAACCCAGGTAACTACCTACCTGAATAGGGCCAGTCGCCAGTGAGCATCTCATTGGTATTTAAGTGTCCAGTACTCCCAGGTTTTCCAATGGTTCTCTAACTAATGTCAGCTCATGATGAAATCCTGAAACCAACCAAATCCCTACAAACCAACACTTAAATACCAATGAGATGCTCACTGGCGACTGGCCCTATTCAGGTAGGTAGTTACCTGGGTTCCAGTGGGAAGTCGTGACCAGTACGGTGCAGCTGGTCGGGTGTGAGGACAAATACTCGCCAAAGACATTGGCTAGCGGTCGCGCTATGTCGTGAATTGGCAGAAGTTAGAATTCAAGGACCATTGGATCGGGTCCCAGTGGCTTAATGGTATACGAGGCAGCTCGCCTTGTAACCGGAAGGTCCGGGGTTCGAATCCCGGCGGGTGCGTACTGCTGAAGAGTCCCAAACTAGGACGAAACAGCTGTCCAGTACTCCTGGGTTTTCCAATGGTTCTCTAACTAATGTCAGCTCATGATTAAATTCAGTAATTATTGTACTCCTCCTATCCGAATCATTATCACAAAGAATGAAGATGTCATCCGTATATACCGGCAACAAAAATGAGAGCTTACTGTGATAAGGTTGTTTAAAGATCCATATTTTCTAGTTTACTTAGTAAGAAATCAGCCAGAATGGGACGCAATGGGGACCCAACGTAATCGTAGCGAAACTCCACAGTTCAAAACTTGAAGCCCCCTATATATATATGCTCATACACCACAGAATGCAAAACAATGTAGGAAACAAACAAGCTAACACACAAACAATAAAAAAAACTGTTAAACTAACCAATGATTGAGGGACAATTGCTGTCGCCCATGGATTATTAGCATTCAGTACAAAATTGTTTGTAAATCCTGGTGATGTACCACCACCCATAAATGAGCTACTATTGATCTGATTCATTGAAGGGGATGGATGAATTGGTGTGGATAACTGTTGACCACTGGACATAGTGCTGTTATTCGCATTACTACTGCTATTACTGCTATTATTGTTGTTGTTTGAAGTTTGAACAACACATGGCATTGTACCAGACCAATTCACGGCGGATAGACTCCCATCTGGAGCACGATATATTCGACAACCTTGACTAGCTGCATAACTATCACGGATCGATAGATTGCCAGCGATTTGAGCTATTTTATCATCTAATGACAAGGTGGATTGTGATGGCTGGACAGCATTGGCTGAATAGAAATTAGGAGAAAAATAAAAGAAATATTTAATTAAGTGATGGTTGGTTCATCGTGTTGGTGGCTTTTTGGTCTATTTCAAGTTAGGTAATCACCACCAAATGACGTCACCAAAAATTAGGCAGCATTGGAAAGCTGTGTTCTCCTAGTCTGGGACTAACATAACCAACAATAATAAATAGCAGCACCAATCACTATCCAGGGTAGAAATAAACTTGAGGGAAGTCACTCGTCTCACTCATCTGGTTAAGCAGTGCCATTCCAGTTACAGACAGTCAGCACCGATGTAGATGTCTAAGTCAGTTTGGAAATCTAATTGGTGGATGGTGACTAGCAGTGGAGTTCGGGATAACGCGCATTTCGTCCTATTTGGGACTGGTCAGTGGCTGGATGTACCTGCATTTCCCAGTGAGTGATGATGTTCCCACCACCATCGGGACTCGAACCGAGTGACCATAGTTTCAAACACCAACCAAAGCGTAATCCACTAGACCACTTGGGCCACAAGAGCCACTGCCTCTTGTGCAACGAGTCATATTAATTATTTAATTCAGTTTCAGATTTTCCCGTCGATTGCTTGAACCGAACATCCAGATGACGAGATGCGCATTCTGGATTCCACTGCTAGTCACCATCCACCAATTAAATACTGATTAAATGCCCAAAACATCATCGAAGCATCTGCACAAGAAGCCGATACGTCAACCTGACACCAAGCACTTCGGTCCAATCAATCGACGGGAAAATCTAAAATTCAATTAAATTAACATGACCCGTTGCACAAGAGGTGGCTCTCATGGCTCAAGTGGTCTAGTGGATAACGCTCTGGCGTTTGAAACTATGGGTACTAAGTTCAAACCTCAGTGGTGGGAACATCACCACTCATTGCGGAATGCAGGTACATCTAGCTGACAGACGAGTTCCAAATAGGACGAAATGCGCTTTATCCTGGATTCCTCCACTGCTAGTCACTGATCTACCAATTAAATTCTAATTAAATGCCCAGACATGGATGGTAGAAGCATCTGCACAAGAAGCCGACAGACTGTCAACCTGAAACCGAGAAGCACTTCGGTTCAATCAGTCAATCAATCGACAGGGAAAATCTAAAATTCAGTATGGAAATCTCCTGCAATAAGCATAAAGTAAAAAAATTCGTATGTTTGACACTCATAGGTTTGTGCGCGCGTCACGAGAAGTATTTCAACACAGGTCACTGTAGACTTCTGTCAATACCTGTTGACTTCCCTCCATAAATGGCCTGTTGGCCAGAAAATACACGGAAGAAAATGAACTAGGATTGTTAACATACTGAAGAGGCAGTTGAGAAATATCATTCGACAGGCTCTCCAGCTGAAGGTGAATGGGAATCAACTAGTTGGGTGCGTGTGCTCGAGGATGACACGGAAAAGGTTATCGTGTGAAGAGATAACAGCCTGTGGGTAGTCGTGGAGCCAATAGAAGTTTAATGTTCCCCTCGGAACCTAAGGGAATACTAATAGTAGGCTACATGCCTATGACTCTTTCGGGAATTGACCCAGTTAGCCATTCAGTGTCACGCAGTTTAGCTGGTTGACTGTCGTATATAGTAATTAGGAGGCCACTGTGTCGAATTCCGATCTGAAGCCACATGGGTGCGGTCCAGCAGTCGGATGATCAAGAGTGCGTACGTACTACTGTAAAAGGATCAAAACTGAGACGAAACGGCGTTTTCCGTTACTTGCTGATTTTTAATAGTTCCCTAAGTGATGTCGATTCGTGATGTAACTTGAAAAAAGTAGAAATAACAACTGAAATATGTTGAACGAATATTGAAAAAATCTGCCGAAGTAATCTAGATATGATAGAGAAGATTTGTAGCTCAGGTAGATGATTTTGGTGTGGTTGTGTTCACTGAGCTGGCTGGATAGTTAATTTGCGAAGCCTTCATCACCCTACTAGGTGACATCTTCAGCGCATACACTTCAATTTGATGAAGTGAGCTTTTAGATTTCTCCTCGGAGTTCACTATTAATCATCTCTCCCGTGACCTTTGGCGTGATTGGTTGTTTTTGTGTGCACGTTGTTAGGCATAGGTTTATGCATTCCATTCATATGCATAAACCTAAGCCTGACAACGTACTTCCAATTCAACGGCCAAACAAGTCAAAGGAACACCCATGAGATCGCCAATATCAGGTTTGATTGTAGAAGCGGTGATGCAAAGGCTCGGAAACATAATCCTACCAGAGTATTAGATAAACTAAATTGTTTTGTTTTAAAGGCTCCACCATTTAACCGGAAAAGCTTGATTCTAATTGAGTTTGTGGGTCGTTCGAATGCCAGCCACCTTTACTCCTGCCTCGTTAAGAATTCTGCGTAAGGTTTCTGAGGTTCCTTCTTTGTATGGAATTACTACTGATGATTTAGATTCCTTATTGTTGGTGTTGTCATTATCTTGCGCATGTTTGGAAAGCATGTCATTATTATTATTAATATTATTATTATGACTACTATCAAAGCTTCTCTTATATGTCTCACTTCCTGTCTTAGATTTTACTTGGTACTACTTAGTTTTTGTGTTCTGTTATTTAAACATTTTACCAGTCCTATTTTCACTGATATAGAATGGGATGATAGGAAGTTCAAATATATATATTTGAATATGTGGGTTTCCTGTAAACACACACACTAGTGTTTAACTTCCCATTTTCTTTCCTTTTTTACGCTACAATCTAACATTAGAAGTTCCCCTCTTTATAACTTTCCAATTCATAAGTGAATTGAATTGTCCCCCACCTTTGAGTTAATGTGTTCTCCTACCCCTACGACGACAAATAGGAGAAAACAAAGAAAACTATAAAACTCAAGTTTCTAAGTCGTATGATTATAATTGATGGTGTGATTATGAACCACAATAAATTTTTATACAATTGGTGGATGGTGGCTAGCAGTGGAATCCAGGATGCGCATTTCGTCCTATTTGGGACTCGTCTGTCAGCTGGATGTACCTGCATTTCTCAGTGACTGATGATGTTCCCACCGAGGCTCGAACCCAGTGCCCATAGTTTCAAACGCCAGCCAAAGCGTTATCCACTAGACCACTTGGGCCACGAGAGCCACCTCTTATGCAACGGGTTACACAATACATTTTGTTCGAAACCTTGCCATCCAGTAAATAAACACTCCTGTTTCACTCACTGTGAGTGATATATCTAATAAACAAACTAATATGGAATTACATACTGTCACAGTGCCCAAGTTTTACACACATATTGCTCTGTAGTTTTATTTTTTTCTCTCAATAATCTGAACTTAAAGTAGAGTTTAGACACATGACGCCACATACAACTGATTGACTCATACGAATAGATGAGCACCGTTCACATCTACCAGTAGGCCTCGCTAGCTAGACCGTACTGATCTAAATAACATCGGACAGCAGTTTTTCGCTCTTGTTTCGGGGCAGTGTATCCAGTTGAAAGAGGGCCGAATGAGTTTAACTACTTATGACAATTATTCAGTAGTATATAAAAACAAACTGAAAAATAATTTGGTAACAACTCTAGAACTACAGTGGAGTGCACTGCCCAAAAAATCTTTATCAACTCATTCAACAACAACAACAGTTGGCTAATATGACAATACCACATGTCAAGTGGTCGACAATGGGAAATTCAACGAAGGCTCTAAAGTGAATACGGGAGTAAGACAAGACGGTCTGTCTACTATCACCGATGATATTCTCTCTCTTAGTTGTGGTGGTGTGAATTATGCAGAAGGACCTAAAAAGACAAGAATACCTTGGACCACCCTATAAGAAGACTCTAGAAGATGTGAACTTAGCGCACAACCTATGTCATATAAATTCGAAGACTTACAGGAGAAACCCAACAAGTTGGCAGGCAGAAGAAGCAGCCATCAAAGACAGGACAACAAATGAACACATACAGGGGGAAGACAGAGGTGATAAAGATAACCAACCAACCAACCAACAACGAAAACAACAAGCACCAACCACTATCGACGGGAGAAATTTAAAACAGGTTACTTATATCGGACAGAATCGTTTCAACTATAGACAGCCGGATAGCACGTATAAGGATGTCAAATGCAGCCAGGATAGAAAAGTTAAGACAGACCTTTAGTACTTTGAAAATTAGTTCGGAAATCTTCTGCACTTCACAGCATAATTAATTCAGTTCTTCGGCATGGATCAGAAGCTTGGTGAGTGTGTCGCGAAAAGCATTTGCAACAGACTACTGCAGACCTCTATCAACAGTCCTGACCTATAGCTGCTAACCTTGGTGTGGTGGTCGCCGGGCTTGCACATCGCAATGACCCCAACAAGCTACACTGGCTGGAACCAATGTTCCTGCAAGTCCTACCATGCAAGGAAGGTTGTTAAGATAGCCATTAGACTAAAAGCAGTTACCGGAGTAGTGTAAGGTTTTGTTCCTTACATTATGCTGGGGATCTGTGGGCGAAGTCGTACTGCTGGGGAACAGGGATGTAACAGCAGGAGTAAGGTGTTATCCTCAGATGACCAGCATGCCAGCCAACTATGCTGTCTCTCCACTATGCTGGAGAGAGGGGGTTAGAAAAGGCCGACCCCGAAAATTGTACATACCGACTTACCAAACCTACGGTGGTCCGTTCACTGATTAGGAACCAAACCAAGAAACCAGTTCATTCAGGCTGTGTGTGACCGGCTGGCTTCAGGCAGCTGTCCCCTGGGCTCTGCCGTCATGCAAAACTAACCCTCTTTCTGTTTCAGGAACCCGAAGAATCACACAACTTCCACGGTGTGGGCAGCCGCCCGGGAAGTAACAACCGCGCACATACTTCCAAGTTCACACGAAGCTTTTCTCGAGCATCATTCTCCTCTATCCACATTCTCTTTATCAACAGCTGTCTCCTTCCCTGACTGGTTCCATACTGAAGACCGTATATGGTCAAACAGAAAGAATTTATTATTATTTCCCTTAATTCCTAGAGGAAAATAGAGCTTCAGC